GATCGTTAGTAGAGTGAAATCTATAGGAAGGTCTTTATGTGCTGCTTCGATGGGTGGTGAGTTCAGTGGCGCTGGCCTATTCAAGAATTTCTGAAAATGCTCTCCTCATCTTTTCCACTGTTCTCGAATCCCAGTGATTTGCTTGCCTTCTTCGTCCTTGACTGGTCTCTCAACTTTACTATATTCACCTACTAGTTTCTTCGTCGTTTCCTGTTTCCTTCTCTGCAGTCACTGCTACGTCTCTTACGCATTTCTGCTTGTCGGCGTAATGCTCCTCTTCACTCTCTTGTTTGCTTCTGTGTATTCAGCTTATACCTTGTATTTTTCTGTTCTTGTTCAGTTGTTGTTATTTGCTGTCTTCTTGCTCTCCCTTTCTCCAATCTTGTCCAGTGTTTCGATAGAGATCCATTTTTTATGATGATGCTTCTTGTGGCCTGGAACCTTCTGACAAGTTGAAGTTAGTGCTTCTTTGATCTCTTTTCAGTTGTTCCTCATAGTAGTCTCTTTTGTTTGGAGTATATTTTGTAAAGCTTCAAAGTTGTTGCTGAGAGCTAAAAGAAGACCGAAGGTATTTCAGGTCCTTTCTTTGTTATCACTTCCTCTACAGACCTTCTGAATGTTTTCAGTGATTCAAAGATGACCGATCTGGTCCTCTACTATGTGATTCGGTGAGACCCTTGTAGCTCTTTGTATACATTTGTGGGGAGTATAGTACCATTTATAACCATTTTTTGAAGGCACACAGGTTTGCAGATCCATAATCATTCTTCTTTCCTTCTCCCAGTTCATGTCATCCCATGATATCTTCATACCTGGTGTCTTCCACCTGATTTTGGCGTTTAGGTCTCCTATCAGTATGATCAGGTCTTTTCTTAGGCACTTCTCTATGATTGACTACAACTTTCCGTAAAATGACCATTTTCGTCTTCGTTGTTGTCGTTGTTGGGTGCATATCGCTGGATAGCATTTATTGTGATCCCCTTCTCCTTTGTTTTTAAAGATGCACTGATGATTCTAGATCCATGAGATTCCCACCCTATAAGTGCTTTTCGTGCTTAGTTTGACAGCATCGGTGCAACTCGTTGTGTGTACAAAGTATTTTCGTCTTCACGACCAGAGTACAGGATCATGTTTCCCAAGTTGATCTTTTCTATCCAACTTGAGTCCAATGGGTTTCATTTATTCTGAGCACCATCAAGTTGTATCTCGTTGTTTTCGCAGCCATCTCATTGATCCTCACTGTCTCCCACATTGTCCGGACATTTCATATACTATATTAATCGTTGCTCTGGTTATTAGAGGAGATATTATCCTCATAATTTCCGAAGAATCTCGGCTTTTACCATGAGGCTTGATAATTCTTCTAGATGAACACGCTTCAACTTAGAGGGTAGAGTTTGAATGATTTAAATTGTTTTTTTCTGGTTAGAGTTTTCTTAGCAAAGTCGTTTTCTACTGTCTGATCCCATGCTTAACCCTCTTCTTCTATCCGGGCTGGGGACCATCAGTAACCGTTGAGGGGCTCTAGGCGAAATACTACTACTACTACTACTACAATTAAAACTGCAACAACATCATCAACAACAACAACCACTACTACTACTATCAAACTGTTTCAATCATTAGAAATAACAGTTACGTTTCTATATATTGCTTGCAGTGTTTATATCAAACTTTAGTTTGCACCACCGGATCGAATTGTCTCAACGTTTTTCACAGCATTTGATTCTGACATTTTTGAAGAGGTGAATAAAGAATTCACACTAAACGGTGTAGGGCAATGTTGAAAGTATTGGATTTCAGTCTCTGAGATTTAATTAGACAGAGTTTCTCTCTCTCTCTCTCTCTCCATATATATATATATATATATATATATATATATATATATATATATATATATATATATATATAGTCGAACTTTGGATAGCCAACAGCAGTGTAATTCAGGATGAGCGTTTCATCCTAATGGGGGGTAGTCACCTCGATCTACTAACATCCTAGTAATAATGTTTACAATAAGATTAGAACTCAGTATTTATTGCTTTAAACATTAACGCACTAAAGTACTGAGTCGCAATAACTACGGAGCTGTCCATTGTGTATGGCGCATGTTACTAAATGAAATGGTCTGTATTTTCTTGTTACAAGTATTCAAGACGGCATTCGAGTAGTCTCATATGAACACCGAAACAAGGATTTAGGTACATTCAACTAAATAATTCCAGACCAAGACAAAACACGCCTTCTGAATTCCATTGTATACCGATTTCCAGAGTATAATCAACTTATAAGCATATCAAAAATTGAGACATTTTCCTAGAAGCCCATATGTCATCAGAGAGTGATTAAATTTACTTTTAAAAATCAGCTGCAAGGAAATATGAATTGTGATATTTTATGTAAAATAATTTTCATTTCTATTAAAATACACCTTCATATTTTATAAATTACACTACATAATTAATTCTACTGTTCAACTTAGAAAATTGACGGGTTATATTCATTGTTTTTCACCATTTAGATTGATCCAATTAAACAGATGAAAAAGCGTTGGATTATCTACCATTTTTGATTGAATGTTTCTTTTTAACAAATAAATGTTAAAATTATAGTTGAAAGCGTGAGTCAATTGAAGCTAGACCAGTGGTCTATCGGTTAAGGGCTTCGGCTCGAGACTGGTAGGTCCTGGGTTCGAATCTCGCGAGAGCGGGTTCGTGGATGCGCACTGCTGAGGAGTCCCATAATAGGACGAAACGGCCGTCCAGTGTTTCCAGGTTTTCCATGGTGGTCTAGCTTCAACTGACTCACGCTTCCAACTATAATAAATACTAAATCTCCACAAAACCCCTTCTATAATTAAGTTAAAATTATAGTTTATTAATATACCTACTATTATGATTATGAAATAATGCCATTGTTAGTTGTAGTTAATACTAATATGAAATGTCAGAAAGGGTTTTGTGGATATTATAGTAATTTCAATAGTTGAGATCATGAGTTAATTGAAGCTAGACCACCATTTAAAACCTGGAAAAACAGGAAGATCGTTTCATCCCATTGTGGGACTCTTCGGCAGCGCGCAGTTAGACATTAACACCGTTGGATGCCGACTCAGTGGTCTAGTGGTTAAGCGCTCGCACGCGAGAGCGGTAGGTCCTGAGTTCGAATCTCTCGAGGCGTGATCGTGGATGCACACTGGTCAGGAGTCTCACAATAAGAAGAAACGACCGTCCAGTGCTTCCAGGTTTTCCATGGTGGCATAGCTTCAATTGACTCATGATGTGAACCATTGAAATTAATATGAAATGATTGATTTATAGTGTAGGTAAACACTTAATACTAGTCTTAATTAAAATGACTAGTAAATTCTAGTTACTCTTGTCAATAATTACCAAGTTTAATCCAGATTTTATTATTTATTTTATAGTGTATAGTTTTGGGGTGTATTGTCTTGATGGATAAAAAGCTAAGTGATGTATAATTTTCAGTGATATGACGTAACCGATCTACAATCGTTCATGAAATCACAATATTTAGATGACCCCTTGCCTTTGAAAATGAACTATCATAAAAAGATAAAACAATTAACCAGGAGAATAGGATGCTTTTTTTTGTTGTTGATAAAATAACAGAAAAATATTTAAGAACGGAAGCAATTTGAAACAAATGTAACTGAAAAACATGGATTACATCCAAGTGAAATTAAAACCTAGTCGTCATATTTAATTCTTTTTCATCATATCAATTAATCGTTGTTTTAACATCGCTAGTGCATAATCTATCCTCTGGTAATAAAAATTTAGAGAAATAATGTTCTATGTTGGATTAAAAGGTCAAGTTTTAATGTTGTGTCGGAAAATGGCGTTGACTTGTAAAGTTACGAGCTATTAATCTGAAGAGATAAGATGCTAATTATTTGTTGACTGTGAATAGAAGTAATGTGATCCGTCTAATGATTGAATGTGATTGTCAGATATATTGAGCAACTCAGCTTAATATTCAAAGTGAACACTTGATTGATAGCAATTGGTTTAAAAATGAGGATTGTTCCATCAGTGTAGTTCAGTAGTATTCTAAACTACCATCTAAACATGAAGTGGTAGTTGTTTTCAAATAAAAATTCATATTTTCTAGAAGTTTTGTAATTCGACACTTATCTGTTCGATGGCATACTAACATACCATTGATCTTTTTTCCGGATTACAAATTCTGTCAAGAATATTCATTCAGATAACTACAACCTTTAGACTAAGAATATATGTTAATTTGTAATTAAACATGGTCCTAAAGGTCTTCTAGTGTTACTACCATGATATAAGAAGAAAGCTTACAAAAAGTATATCTTTACAGCTGATTTTACAGTTATTACTCGCCTTCTATTATGTTTTAACGATTTATTGTAAGTGATATTTTTTGAAAAGTAATTGATCCACAAACAAATTTCTAAAGTGATAATGTAACTATTAAATTCCATCTGGATTGATAGATTATCTCGAAATATGCCGAAAAGAGTGTAGAAAGAAGATAATTTGAAATCACTTTGATGAAATATTTCACCATATTACCAGAATTTTTAGGTGTTATCTGAAGACAACCTCTTTCTAAACAATGTGAAAAACCTAACCAAGGACATTTTCCGGATTTAGATGCATAATCTGTTGAGCTATAACCTCCTCAGGAGTATACTTTATGAAAATAACTTCAATTTATAAATATTGAAATGAAAATCTAAGCAGTCAATATCACTATTTTATTCGTGTGATTTTTCGTTGTTGATATTGTTCATGATATCAAACAAACCATAATTAGGTATAAGGTTACAAGCGGTCGTTCAGAGGAAGCTCCAAATGATCCAGGTTCTTTGTGAGTCAATATTCAACAGCAGTTTGTAAGTAAATGACGCTTACTGTAGGATTCGTGTTTGAATCACCCAGCTCCACAGTTTAAGAGCTAACCACAGGTGTTAGTTTCTCTCATAAAAGTAAGAAAATATTTGAAGTAGCTGAATTTCAAATAATATGTATTTAAATTGTTCAGCGGCAACTGTTGGACGTCTTACAGACAAATCAGTCTTAGTTAATTCATTATCAAACCTTTCCAAACAAATGATAGAGAAAATGAATACTTGAGAAAAATGCGAAAAATGAAAAGTGATTTCTAGCATTTATATCTAATCATTTATTAATGCTATGGAAAGTCGCTTTCGTAGACAATTAACTCTGTTATTCTGTCATTATCACTTCATATCAAATACTAAATTTATCATCCATCTATGCAACATTCAAAATCCTACGTAAATTGCATTACTTACATTTGCCTACTTCTTAGTAGTATAAAACATTAAGTCAAAATAATTTCTAGGTAGGAACTTTAAGCAGAGAACAATAATAGTTTCTTTGTTATTAATGTTTTATTTTTTCGGGAAAAAACAGTCCTGATTATGTGTATTTCGCTCTATTCTTTTTTCAATTAGTGATTTATTGTTCTCTAATTTAAGTGAAAATCATTTACGCAAACACAGTCAGTAGAAGAAGAGGGTTAAAAAAGACTTGAAAGAAAATCAAAATGCATATCCATCTATTCTTTGATAATTACAAACACACAACCTCATAATTAAAAGGATATTTAGTTATTCATGCTTTTTAGTTTGTTTATTTATTGAAAACACACTTCTCCTATCTGAACTAAATTTTCAGAGATTTTCGGATTGAGTAATTCAATACCACGTATTGGAAATCGGGCTGTTGAACCTTTTATCAGAAAAGCGGACCTTTTTAATCCCGCTGGAAACTAAACATTCAAAAAAAAAGAAAGAAAGTAGAGTGAAGATAAAATTGCCATAAAAGTTCAGGATTAAATTTGTTAAACTTTTAGATATAAAATTGAATAATAACTTCACTATTTCTTTTGATTTGCACTAACCTCTATTGAAATATTTCTAAAATAGTTTGATAAACGTTAGGTGAATGAATCTAATAAATGTTGGTCTACATGGTGAATTTTTATGCATCAATAGTTTTAAGATAGAATAATGAAACAGAAATCTATGAAGCTTGACTAGTATTTTTTTGTCTAATTAACTAGTTCATATTACCTTGGTGGAGGAGGAGTATTTATTCATAAGGTTTTTCATGACATTTTTTAAACAGATCTCATTCATTGGTTGCTTTGACAACTTATAAAATTACAATCGATTAAATTTTTAAAAAAAAATTATATCCTTATTCTATTTTCTAACGTTTTAGAGGAAATGAAAATCTTAATGTCATGAGAAGCAATAATTATTAGAATTAACGATCATTAATTCTTAACAAAGATAGATTCTGGCTAGTAATATAGTTCAGGATTCATGTTTCATTCTATTTGGAACTCATCAAACAATACAAACATGAATTACAAGGGATTATAAATTCACCTAAATATTTAGGTATTTAAATTGATTTAACAGTCTGTATTTTTGAATACAAAAAAACAGTTAAGATAAAAGGATAGTACACATAAGTTTCTATCAAACTAAAAATCTCGTGAGGTGGGATTATGGATGTGCACTGGTCAAGAGTCGCACAATAGGACGAAACGACCGTCCAGTACTTCCAGATTTTCCATGGCGGTCTAGCTTCAATTGACTCATGATCTCAAATATTGAAAGTATTCAATATTTCATACTTTTCAATAGTTATCTGATTGATATCAATTTATGACCAAAAAAAAAATCTATTTTTAAAAAATATTTCCTAGTAAAACAAAACACTCCCATACCCCCCTCAAGAAAACATGATAAATTGATTGGATAAACCTACATGACAATTATTTTGAATAATTTCATATCCAAGATATGGATGATCATAAGATAGTTCATTCCCATTATTTGTAAATAATTTAATGAATAAATTTGATGATGATAATAATCTATGATTTGATTTGATTGAACAATCTTCATAAATTTGTTGTGTACCTATTAAACTATGATATTTTAAATATTCTAATTGATTCCCTTCTAATTCATATATTAACTAAAAATTTTTAAAAAAAAAAAATGGTAACCATAGAATGTTCATCATTAAAAACAAACAGATTCAATATAAAGTAATAAAATAACCCTAATCATACAAATGAACAAATTGATTTACTTATTCTTAATTGATAGTGTAATGAACAAAACACGACTTAGGATAATCAAATGTATTTAAGCAAAAATTATAGACTATCTCACTAAATAGTTAATTTGCAAAATAACAACCAATGGTCTCAATCTTCACTGTTTCTTATGTAAATATTAATCCATCTTCTCTAATTTCATTGTTTATGCATTTTCCTATTAATTGCGCTTTATTTAAGTTCTTTCTTTATCGGTCTTTTGTCAAAATACATTCTATGTCTGACCATCACCATATACTACTTATGGGGATATAAGTAGGCCACATCGCAATAGCGCATAGAAACTATTTGGATTGGTTTTATTTTTAATTTTTTCTTTTTTTCCTTTTCTTTTTTAGAAATATTCCTAGACGATAATTTATTCTACTCTACAGGTAAATCACTTTCAGTTTAGTTCTGATTTCTTTTAACAGTGTTCATTTCTTAGTATTGTTTGATCGAATCTTCCCATTGATGTTTAGGACTGCAACTGATCAGTCTCTAATTGACATATGTACATACTGTGCATATTGTCTCGATATAGTCTTATTTCACAAACAATGTACTGGGAAGATTCAAACAAACAATACTAAGTGAATTTAGAAATAATAAAATATTGGACAATTATCTTTCATAATTCAAACTCATAAATTATTTTTATCCTTTTATTCTCTAATCCCTTTAATATTACGTAACCCCATTAGATAACTAGAGTCTCGAATCTCTCTATAATGCAATCTTTCCTATCCATCTATCGACATATATTTTCCACATAACTTTATATACGAATGTACAGCTTAAGTAAATGATTTCATCGAAACGAAAATTTTCTTACGCTGAATTTTTATTCACCTTTATTTCATGATACAATGGGTTATTTAAATATGGTCATTTCAACTTAGTATCCAGTCAAAATTAGATGAACAACAATAAAGCGTAATTGAATATGGTGATAACGACGAATAAATGAGATGACCAACTGTTCAATTTCTACAATTATTTGATACTAAACTCTTATCAACGTAAATGTAGCTTAAATATATATTATTAAGCAATACATTAAAATATGACAGCAAAAATTTAAACATCGAATAAAGACTGAAATAACTGTAAAATAATAATTGAATATTGAGATGAAAATTAACAGAAGGAGGTTTTGTGAAGATTTTAGTAAGTTTATAGTTGAATTCATGAGCTGGTTGAAGCTAGACAACCGTAGAAAACCTGGAAGCACTAGATGGCCGTTTCGTCCCATTGTGAGACTCCTCACCAGTGCACATCCACGATCCCACCTCGATAAATTCGAACCCAGGATCCATCGGTCCCCCGCGTGAGTGCTTAACCTCTAGACTACAAAGCCGGCATCCAAGAGGTATTTCCTGGGGTCCTAGTGAGAAGCAGTGACTAGTGGAGTTCAACCGGGTCTGTTGTGAGATAGTAACTCACTGAAGACAATGGTAGATTTGTCTCTCAATTTCGTGGATTATTTGAAGTTAGACATTAACACCGCTGAACGCTCGTTCACTAGTCTAGAGGTTAAGCACTCACGCGGGGGACCGATGGATCCTGGGTTCGAATATCTCGAGGTGGGATCGTGGATGTGCACTGTTGAGGATTCCCGCAATCGAACGAAACAACGGTCCAGTGCTTCTAGGTTTTCCATTGTGATCTAGCTTCAGTCGATTCATTAATTCATCTATTAAAAAATAACCCAGAATAATTATTGATTAGTTAAACAATCAAAAATTGTCATTATTTAAACAACTTACTTCATAAAACTGACTTCCTAAATTATTTTCTTCTTCAGTTGAATTTTCGCTGTTTGGATAATTTGAATTTAGCGTTTTTTGTTTTAATCGAATACATGTTTCACTTGTTTTAAATTTACAATAAGCTTGTACAACATCATTAATTTCATTACCATTTGGATCAATCCAGTAATAATCTAATGGTTAAATCAGTAAAAAAAGGTTTGTGATTATATTAAAATAAGTCAAATTAGTGATTAGAGAAAATATGTAAAAGAGAGAGGAAATTAATATCCACAAGTAATCGTACACTAGTTAATATATTGGTTTGTGAATTTTTCCTACAGAAGTTCAACTGATTTTAATTAAACCATCACTAAAAACTAGGTAAGACAGTATATTTGTTTCATTCTACTACGAAATTCCTCAGTAGTATGGATCTACAATCCTACCACTACAGATTGAACCCAACGCCTTTGGTCTCACTGGCGAACATTTAGACTCTAGACTCTTAGGCTGGAATTCAGTGATGTATATGTCTTACTTCAATTTATTTACGACACCGGCTGTTCAGTTGTTTCTGGACTTCAATGGTGGTTCGAAAAAGAACAGCCTGTAATATAGATTACGCAGATGGAATAATCACCACAGAAGCCTTATAGTATAACCATTTAGTGAAATGTACTTAGATGAAAAATTCTGTTAATGAACTAGGATTGTAATTTTTAAAAATAAACGAATAGAATACCGATCAATAGATAACATCCAACAATGTAATATGACTGAGTGATTGTTGCTCACGAAACTAAATTGTTGTTGTAAGTACCTAATTAGGCTGGTATCAGAAGACAAGACAACAGTCCAGTAGAATATGTTTCTTCAGAACAATAACCTACTTTATATATATATATATATATATATATATATATATATATATATATAATACTGACAGAAAAATAAAAATGAAGGTAATCGATTTTATGGTTCACTCGCTTTCTAATCAATTGACACCTATCCTATGTCAGTCAGAGTTGCTAAGATTATGACTCGATACTTGAAACCAAAAGAACACAGCTACAGATGTTATAACAGTAAAGGGATATTACTGCCTAGATATTGTAGGGTTTTGCATCCCAGAGTACAATTAAATAATAGAAATATTTAGCTATTCATGAATCACATTTATTGTAAGTAAAATGCGAAAATACAATTTAGCTAGCCAAACTTTAATAGATCGCACAGAGTTTAACTCCGTAAAAATATATTTTGGAAGTTTTGTAGTCGAATTACCAAGCTGTAATTCTATTAATGTTTATTTGTTTTCAGTTAATAAGAACGTACAGAATTAAAACGAACATGTCAATATGAACTACAATGCAAGTAAACATGATAATTCTTCTTATCTAACCGTATAAATGGAAACATAGTTGACAAATTTGTTTCTTGATAGATATATTGGCTTATGTGGAAGTTTATATTGATATCATAAATGGACCAATGTCAGACTACTATTGAAAACCTGAAAGCATTGGGTGGCAGTTTCGCCTTAGTATGAGGCTCCTCAGAAGTGAGCATCCACGATCCCACACATGGGACTCGAAATCAGGACATTCGGTCTCGCATGCTAAAGCTGAACCTTTAGACTATTCAACCGGCATTCAACGGGATCGTGGGTACACAGTGCTGAGGAGTCCCATATTAAGACAAACTTGCCGCCCAGTGCTTCCAGGTTACAATGGTGGTCTAAGATTGATCCAATCTTTATATCAATCTAGACTCAACAGTCTCCACAACCCTATACTGATGATTATAGTCTAGTGTCATGAGCCTCTAACTAATTTTAAAATAGTCTGTTTTAAATATATCAAACTGAAATCCAAATCATACAGCTTGAAATATTTTGGAATTGCTAACTTTTAATCTAAAATCTATATTTGTCGCCTTTCAGATAGATTTTTCTAGCCTTGACTTGTAAAACCAATCAATCTGAGTATGAGGCTAACGGATAGATCACATTAGATGGAGATTTACTGACATTCAAAATACAAGCCAATGTATGCTGAACAATTGAACTTCCACAGGAACTAGATGAACCTAGTTGTACTTGTTGTATAGGCTGGTAAGTGAGTACTGATATAAGTATGCGAAATAGTTTTTCAGTGCATTTTAGTGCATTTTCCCAGATGATATTAGTATATTGTGAAAATTAGCTTTAATTTTTAAAAAAAGTCACCCTTTCAGACTCTGAGTTCTAGGTCAAATTTTACTCATAAAATTATTTACTATTCATTTTTTGGCCTCTAATGTTTGAAATACTATCCTTGAATGACCATCACACGTTATCCTGACAGTGTCTGCAAGCAATGTAATGAGGAAACATACTGATTATGATCTGTAGATATTTTAATATTATTATCGTTAAAAATATTGATGTTTAGTGATCAATGAAGCGTATAGTGTTTTAGACTAGATCTCACTGACCAATTTTTACATTGCAGTAGTCAGTTATTCAACTATATGTTCATGCTGATTTAATAAAAAAACTTATACCTGCCAGACTAATCTTATTATTTAATTACTTTAACCATGTTATATTCCTTGTATTTAAAATGATTAATATGTACTTGACTTACCATCAGGTAGATTCTTGTTATATTCACCTAGTTGTTTACATGTTAAAGCAGGTGCAGATCTTGTTCCTCTTGGTCTTGAAGGCTCATACGTTCCCATAATTCTTCCTGCCAATGGATCATCTGCGTAGATATTTCCAGCTTTTGTATTCCGACTGATTGTTGGTAGTTGTACGGATGGCATTCCTGGTGGTCCAGGAGGTCCTGGAGGCCCCATCGGTCCAGGAGGGCCAGACGATCCATCTCTTCCTGAAGGACCTGGTGGACCAGGTGGTCCTGCTTCTCCTCTTTGTCCTTTAGGACCTTTGGTTCCGGTCTCACCAATAGGTCCACTATCACCTGGTGGCCCTGGGTTCCCGGGATAACCAATTTCTCCAGGATCTCCACGTACACCATCGGGACCAGGAGGACCAGGTGGTCCAGGTGGTCCAGACCATCCAGGGTGACCTCGACCACCTGGGCTTCCTGGGAGACCACTTGATCCATCCTGTCCGTCTGGGCCAGTTTCACCAGTAGCTCCTTTCACTCCAGGGGGTCCTGGAAGTCCTGGTTTACCGGAAACACCACGTTCTCCTTGTGGTCCAGGACGACCATCTTGGCCAGGTTGTCCAACTTCTCCAACTGGGCCCAAGGGACCTGGAATACCTCTTTGTCCTCGTGGTCCATCAAGTCCAGGCTCACCAGGAGGTCCAGCTAAACCTTCAGGTCCTTGCTCTCCATCTTCTCCTGGAGGTCCTTCCGGGCCCTCGGATCCAGGTGGCCCCTTGGCTCCTTTCGATCCCCTTGGACCTTGAGGACCTTGTGGTCCAGTTGGTCCAGCTGCTCCTTGTGGGCCACTTAGACCGGGTGGACCAGGTGGTCCTCTTGGTCCAGGTCCTCCTGATGATCCACGCATACCCTATTTCCGAAAAAAAGTAATGCATATTCATGATATCAAACATAGTAGCTTCTGCAATTAGACTATTATTATTCTGTTGAGTAACATGTGCGTTAATTGGGTTATCTATGTTGTTTCTTATTTCATTTTCTAGAAAATTCTATCTTCCCTAGTATGACTAATAAGTTTCTAGTAATTTAGTTAGTTAGAAATATTTAATTGGTTTGCAAAATAATGTCATAAAATCCGTTTATGGCATGTCCATAAATGGCATCCACAAATCTTGAGCCTAAAATTAAAAACTGATAATTTATCCACTTAATTTAATCGATTAACCACTGGATTTTAAGGAATCACAAACAAAATTAGCAAATCTCTAGTATTTTTTTCCTTGTACAGTATTAAAAATCTCTTAAGTATACTTCTGTATATGTGCAGACTAAAGATCGATTCCCGGTAGTACTAGTTGAAACCACAGTTACAGGCACTATCACTAGACTAGACTATCCTCAGATGATTTTTTGTAGCACCACGTTAAATAAGAAAATTGGCAAAGTGAACGATAATAAGCAAGATTATTCCTTTAAGACTTTAAAATGCCCAGTATTTAGTGCTTATTGGATAGCCGAAAACTTCAAATTTTACTCATTAGTATCATTCAGTCAAAACATTACTGTTGTCAGCTTTTTATTTGCACTTACCTGAATAATCTGATTTCACGATTGTATCATTGTTAACTGCCATTAACTGTTTCCATTATTACATGAGGATTCCTTCTGTGATCATTTTGACTGATATTTTCTCAGGTTTGTCTTATCATAATTTTCTAGTCGCAAAATTATCTATATCTCTGTGATAAGTAGTGATAATGCTTCCTCTGAATTAAATGATATGATCGTAAAATATTCATTATCCTTCTAGTAAACACAAAAATTTAGCATGTACTTCTATTTTAAGTGAGCTCAGGACTAGGGACTATCAATAACATTATTGATTGACTGAAGTTAGATATTAACACTGTTAAACGATAGCTAGGTGGTCTAGAGTTTAAGCGTTTGAACACAAGACCGAGATTCAGGTGTTCGATTCTCAAGTTCAGGGTCATGAGTGTGCACTGCTGAGAAGTCATATACGAGGACAAAGTGGGCGTCTTTTGCTTCCAGGTTTTCAGAATTAGTCTAACTTAGATCGGCTCATAGTTTCAATGAACTAACACCATGAATTTATCCTAAAAATAACATTATAACTTTGTTCTTAAAGTATAGAAAACTTTACCAGAGAATTTATAAATGGGCTAATGGTTCGGAGATAGTCGAATGGAAGCACCAAACTTGACCTTTTAGTAATCAATACTCGTTAGTAAGATGCATCTGGATTCTTAAGAAAACTGACGCGTTATGGTTTGGGAGCTCAAACTTGGCATCACGGCCATATGCATGGCAGTATATATAGCTATCTGGACAGCAGAGTAACAAACTGACATAGAAAACAGAATGAATATTGGTGTTGAGTCACTTCACTTTGTGTCAGTACTTAAACTTAACCAACAGAATTCAGTCATCATTAAAAATTAAACAGCATGACATTATTTACCATTTAAGAATCAATTTGTACACAGCATAAGAAGAAGTAAGCAATAGTTCATTGCCTAAATAATTATTTTCGATTGTTTGTATTTCTCAGTGTTAATGAAACATTTATTGTTAATGTCCAAATTACTTCAAAATGATGATAATCTTCGTCTTCTTATTACACTATCGAAATTTATCAAAGGGACTAATTGCTTTAGAATTCATATAAGTGTTACATGACTTTCTATTTGTACAAATATAATGTTTTATTCACTTAGTATTGTTTGTTTAAATCTTCGCATTGATGTTTAGGACTGCAACTGGTCAGTTTCTAATTGGTATATGTGCATACTGTGCGTATTGCCTTGATATAGCCTTAATTCACAAGCATTGCTAGCCACTATCCATCTTTGCTTATAATGTTTTATTGTTATTATTCACATTACGTAATCTAGTATTATAATATTTCTATTACATCATCATGTTTATTCTTTTTCTCCATGTCCTCATGGTACTAATACTTTTACAAAATTTTCATATATATATATATATATATATCAGTATAATATAGCAAGGGCGTAAATAAATTTGGTAGGCTGAGTAAAATATTGTATATATATATATATATATATATATATATATATATATATATATATATATATATATAGACCTTATGTAAAAGAACATTCTACAAAGTCGATATAAACAAAAATTTCAAGGGCTACAAACAAATGGTTACGCAAGGAGTGAACGCCGTAACAAGTAAGAATAAAATGAATAAAGCTCAATTTATTAAAATGAGATTACTAATCTAGAAGATAGTCGGAATAAAAAGACGTAATGAGATAATTAATTAAGAGAAAAAGTTGGATACAATTTTATGATGCAGTAAAAAATTTTTATCACCAAGGTAAAGATAGATCAATAACCATTTCCTTTTGGATACATAGATCAGGTTTTTGATGCATCATAGCAACGGATTCAGTAAAAGTGAAAAGAGTGGAGCTTGATTGTTTATTAATCATTTGCAAGGTATCGACCTGATGTTCTGTATCCAAGAGATGTTTATTAATTGCTCTGTTTAAAGTTTTTCCTTCCACTGTTCTAAGGTTTTTTGGAACATGTTCAAAAAATTCTAAGATATGCCCTCCTTTATGTTCGGCCAATCTAATAATAACATATTCTGAAAATAATAATATTTACAGAATTCACACCAGTTTACAGGCAATTGCTTTGTCAGTTACACGTAAATTTGAAAATACAGTTGGTGAGGACCAAATGAAATAATAATAAATTCATACTATTCTGCTCAAATCTTTGTTGTTTGTTCTCTTCAAGATGATGATAAGTAAGACTGTTTGCACGAAATGCTTTCCAAGCTGACAAAGGAATGTTTTCCGCAAAATTTTCATTGAAGATGTATTTATTTTACCTGAGTTTGATTAACTGATTAGTGACTATAACTAAACCTTTAAATTTGTTTTTTTCTTAAAGTGATAACGATAAATGTTAGGTGAATATTCAATTAAAAATATTCTACTGATGATTATAAGTTGTATAATATTATTAGATGTTAGTAAACTTTGAATATGTTATGAAGGATACTTCTTGTTAGAATGGTATACGACTCACTTCTGTTGTACAAACCTTGAAACATCAACAAGTATAATGAGAAATTTCAATGAATAACTTCATAACTTACAATCATTCCAATTGGACCATCTCGTCCAGGTGCTCCAGGACTACCAATATCTCCAGGTTCACCTACTGTTCCAGGAGAACCCGGTTCTCCGGGATCACCATCTTTTCCGGCTGGTCCAGGTGGTCCCGTCGGACCTTGTTTTCCTGGCTTTCCAGGTAAACCCGTTTCACCTTGTGGGCCACTTAACCCAGCTTTTCCCGGAATTCCTTGAGGACCTTGTCTACCAGGCAGACCACGAGGGCCTTGAGGTCCTCTGACTCCTGGAATGCCTGATGGACCTTGAACACCAGGAGGACCTTGCCCACCCAACTGACCTGCACTACCGGCTCGACCTCTAGTTCCTGCACGACCATTTGCACCTGGGCTCCCTGGTGGTCCAGGTGCACCCGGTGGTCCACGTTTGCCATGTGCTCCACTTGGGCCCTGAAGACCGACTGGACCACTTTGTCCAGCCATTCCAGGAACTCCGACATCTCCTTGCACGCCATTATCCCCAACTGGACCAGGTGGCCCCATAATTCCTAGTGACCTCCCACCCACATGAATTGCACCAGGTGGACCTCTAGCACCTATAGGTCCAGGACTTCCAGGCTGGCCATCTTTTCCCGGAATTCCATGGGCTCCTGAAATGCCTCGATCGCCTTTAAAACCTGGCGGGCCATTTGGACCAGAGGGTCCTGGGGCTCCCGGTATTCCCTAAAAGAAGATGGTTAATAATAATTGGTAAGTTGACGAGCAGTTATATAGAAACCAATTATATCATATCCGTGTTATTTGTACATTTCAAGAAATCTGACCACACTAATTGGTTAATATAGTTATGTGAGTGATAAAAATATCTAACTAAACAAATGGGAATATTATAAAACCAAGAATAATTAGGAAAAACTGCATCGTCTACATGGATCGTTAGTACAAAAAATTCAAATCAATAGTATTAGAGTAGGCTTAACGTAAGTAAAAACTGTCACATACAACTCTTATATTACACAGGTTGAGTTTTTTGGTTTTGACATATACTACTATATTGTTATCTAATTATATTCTATGAAGATTCGTTTTCATTTTCACCATCTGCTATAGTCTCAACATATGATATGAAAAGATTATCCAACAAAGAGCTTAAAACACCGTTCCAAAGTTCTCTCGATTAAGTGAGACTTAGCTTTCATGAGACAAAAATGACAATAGACATATCTAAAAGTTCTAAGAGGAATAGTAAATAGAAAAACACTATTCGTCTTTGTGGAGGGGGTTAATTTACAAACGAAGAATCCACAGCAAGGATATTAATATCATAAAAGTTACAGACAAGTTCAAATTCTTCCTTCAAAACGAAGCTTAAATAAACATGTTCAAGTAAGATTCAACTAGTTTACCCACCATTCCAAGAGATTATTTATAGGTCACATGAATACTACTACTACTACCCCAAATAATAATAATATTAATATTGCAGATCCAACTCCGGATTTAAATGCATACAGTTACCGTTAAAACTTATATGAAATTGTTAGTTCACATCCATATTTGAAAAGTTTAGAATAAATGTAAGGGAAACAGTCATAATTACCGGTCGTGCATAACATTTTGTTTTTTGACCACTTTGACGTACCGTCACTCTCTAAGTAATCTTCAGAAAAATGTGAGAAAAGCAGGGTATAAAGTAAAATGAATTTCTAACTAACCATTACTCCCATTCTTCCAGGTATCCCGATTGGTCCTATACTGCCAGGTTCTCCTTTTGCACCAGGCAAACCTCGAGCTCCTGGTTGACCCGCTGGACCTACGGGACCTTGTGGCCCCTCTGGACCTGCTGCACCGACTTCACCATCTGGCGCGTCTACGCCTGGCGTTCCGTCTTTACCAGGGTCACCAGACGGTCCAGGATCTCCTCGTGGTCCTCGTAAACCGGGGGAGCCAACATTTCCAATCAAACCTTGAAATCCTTTTTCACCAATCGGTCCTTGTTTTCCTTGAGGTCCTGGAGGACCTGCATCACCAACAGCACCAGCCTCACCTAACGGACCTTTTTCACCTTTTTCTCCTTTTGGACCAGGAAAGCCTACAGATCCAGGAAGGCCTCGTTCACCTTGAGGACCCTGGAATAAAATAAAACTTAGGTTAGGTAGATGATTAACCTTCCCTAAATTTTCCGATTTTTACTATTCTACTCAAAAATAAACGCCCATAAGGTGTGTTGAAAATATGGAGACTCTATAACTTAGTGGAAATTAGTAAAAAAATAGGGTTCATAGCCTTTTTTTATGATTTATCTCGCCGCTATTAATTATCTAGTGGATAATCATATAAACTTCATAGAAGAATTGAATCATTTACAAAGTGATTCAGTAAATTATTTCTACATTAGTTCTACATTATTTCTAGAAAAATGTGAGACCTACCTGTTGTCCAATATCTCCTTGTAACCCTGGTGGGCCACTTGCCCCTGTAGTTCCTGGAAGGCCACTTGATCCAGCTTTACCTGGTTGACCGGGTGGGCCAGGTGGACCGGAAGAACCTGGAATTCCATCCCGTCCATTCTCTCCTGGTGGTCCAGGGGGACCAATCCTCCCTGGTTTGCCATCTTGTCCTGCTTGACCTGGTTCTCCTCTTGGTCCAGTTTTTCCCATTGGGCCACTTTTCCCTGCGGGTCCCGGCACACCTGGTCTTCCGTCAATACCTGGTCTACCAGGAGCACCGGGAGAACCAGCCACTCCAGCCGATCCCTTTGCCCCAGGAGGACCTTGAGAACCAGGAATGCCAGGTTTTCCAACTTCTCCAGGAGGACCTGAATAAATAATTTTATATAAAAACTTATGTTTTTAAATATCTAGAAAACTGGCGATAACATTATAATGATTAGTTATTTGGGTACGCCGTATTTTTTGTTGTGTTTATTGAGAAATGAACTGATAACTTACCTGGCAAACCACGAGGTCCTATAACACCTGGTGGACCAGAGTTTCCTTGAGGTCCACGATTCCCTGGAGGTCCAGAAACCCCAATGGATCCCTTAGCTCCTTGTTCACCCGGTGAACCTGATGTGCCAGGTGCTCCTCGAGGACCTGGCATACCTTCTTGTCCCGGCGCTCCTCGAAATCCTATGTCACCTTTTTGTCCTTGTATTCCATCTTTTCCAGGTGGACCCTTTTAAAGCCAAAAGAAGATGTAAAGATAATCAGTACAGATGAAAATTAACTTGTATAGTCAAAAAGTGTTGCGTAAATATACTTACCAGTCAGAGTTTTATACAAAATAAAAGTGACTGCTGATCAATATGATCATTTTCATAAACATTTTCTAATGTTATCAAGAGGAAATTTTGCAGTAAGTTTCCCATAAAAGCCTAATGACCTATATTCAATGTGTACTGACATGTAAATAGGCTCATCTAAGTTCAGTGATCAATATTCTGAGGCTGAAATAATTTGGTTGTTCACCTTGAAACTGTTCTGGTCCATCATCTTACTCGGAGAAAACATCCAATCTGTGTATTCAGTAATCTTATTCTAGTTTACACAATCAATCTGTTCAGGTGATATTTAATTACTTATTCAATTGCAGTGATTGATTTAAAGTGTCTCATTAACATTTAGACTATTTAAAACAATAATTTATTCTTTAGCCTTTGTTATCATACATTATAATTCAGTTTGACATTTTTAAGATTTTCCACCCAGTATAATATTTGAAATCAATCAATTTGAAAGCGATGAGATACATATCAATCATATTAAAGATTACTACCATGGTACTCCATGTATTAATTAAACTTAAAACTGTTAATTGTCAGGTTGGATACACTGGGAAAAGGGTATAGTGTTATACAGTAAGTAGATTTGAGGGTAGTCGGTTCAATTTTATGTATTTCTTTGATAAATGATAATTTGTGATATAATTGATTTCTGTGACTTTCATTTATTTAAGATTAGAAATGTGTGACTTCTATATGAATTTAATGAAGTTGGCTAATTACAAACGTCTAATGTACAATCGTCTTTAAGTAAATTTGAAAATTAAGATATTTTTTAAGTACTGAACGGTTTACACACTTTTAATTTAAATTCGTGAAACACTACATTTTAATAGGTGAATTCATGAGTCAATCTATACTAGACCACCATTGGCCGGCCGTTTCGTCTTAGTATGAGACTCCTCAACAGTACTCATCCACGATCACACATACTGGACTCCAACTCAAAACCTTAGGTCTTATGCGCGAACATTTAACCTCAGTCTATGCTAGAATAGTTTGACTCATGAATCCAACTATTAAAAATTACTACAATCTCCACAAAACCCCATTCTAATAATAAACACAATTATGATCAATCTGGAAATAATCACCTGACCTTCTAGTATGATATAGATTTTTAAGTTAACAGATGATTAATGAGATTAAAGCAAATTTATGCTGGCAGAATCCCATCAAATAGTTTTGAATAGTAACATTGCTTCCCGAATGTGCAAAGTAAAAGTTCTTTTTATTCAATGAAGAGTATTCTTGCAATGGAAAAGTGTTATTAAAATTCCATAAAATTTCATATAAACTTAATAGAGCTCTAATGCTCTCTTTATAAAATATGTGATCCATATTGAAAATATTATTCAGTCTCTTTGTAGTTTGGTCTACTTATACCCATATAAGTAGTATATGGTGATGGTCAGACATAGAATGTATTTTGGCTGAAGGTCGATAAGTAACGAAGAGTAATGAAGCGCAATCGGTACAAAAATGCATGAAAAATGAAGTCAGAGAAGACGGGCTGATATTTGCAGAAGGAACATTTAAGATTGAGACAATTAATTGTTATTTTACAAATTAACTGTTCACTGTATGGTTAGCAGAGATGGATTCAAACAAACAATACTAAGTTGAATGTTCACTGTATGGTTATCATAATTTAGCGGGATAGTCTGTAACTTCTGCTTTCATACATTCGATTTTCACCAACTAGAGTTTTGTTCACTACATCTTGACATAGTGTTTGTAGAGGAAAATGGACTGAAAAGATCATAGATAGGTTTAGAAACGTCATTGATAATTCAAAACTTTATATTAATATTTGTTTATAAAAAATAAATAAATATCAGAAATTTATGTGGTTCAGTAACAATTTTTGTTGTAGTTAAAGCTTATTGAAATGTAAATGTATAGATTCTGAAGTTTTAATTACCTGAATTCCTTGTTCCCCAGGTCGTCCAGGTTTCCCATCAAGTCCAGGTTTACCAGGCTCACCAACTCCTCCACGTATTCCAACTTCACCAACTTCTCCTTGATCACCAGTTGGACCAATAGCACCCGGTTCTCCTGGAAGACCTTGTGGACCTGGTGGACCTTGAGCTCCAGGAAGACCATCTGCTCCAGCAGGACCAACTTGCCCCGGTGTTCCTGATGGACCAGCAGGTCCAACTCCTCCACGAGCACCAGTACGTCCCATAAGTCCAGGAGCACCAATATCTCCCCGAATACCCTTATCAAAATACAGTTAACAAAAGTCAAATGAATGTTTTAGATGATAAATGAAAAGTTAAATACATTGAAATATAACGGCTTGTCTATTACGATGTAAATATTAGAATTTCACCTCAGCAGTGAAAAATCAAAAAATTTCTGACTGTTTAATTGTATTGAATTTCCTCTTCAACTATAAGATATTGTTTTTTTTATATAGTTGAAACCATGAGTCAATTGAAGCTAGACCACCATGGAAAACCCGGAAGCACTGGACGGCCGTTTCGTCCTATTGTGGGACTAAATTAATTTCATTAATTTTAATCGGCGCTATATTGTTTTGAATGGATTTAATTATGTGATCATATAAACACTGTGTCATAGAAATGGTCATTAGGGCTATATGGAGGCAACACGCACAGTATGCACATATGCAAATAGGAGACTGATAAATTGCAGTCTTAAACATCAATTGGAAGATTCAAACAAACAATACTAGGTGAATTTAATAGTCATTATTGTTTCATTTCTATCTGTTAATATTTAGTTAAATTAGATTCTTCATATATATAAGAACTTTCGTCTAAATTAGAGCGAATCGTTTCACAGTATTTGGGCGCCAAGTTGATGTAAGACATTAAATAGGAATAATATATATTTGTAAAATTTCAGCGAATGAATTTGAAGTAAATCCAACGTTTCGCCTGGCAATCTGGTCCAAGCTTTTTCAAAGAAATATAATCAAACATCAAAAATTATCGAATATAAATAGGTACATAGTACTTCGGTTCATTTTTAACGCTGATTGGATGACATATTCAGTGTACAATGAACCTAAGAACCATGTACCTATTTATATTCGATAATTTTGATGTTTGATTATAATTCCTTGAAAAAGCTTGGACCAGATTGCCAGGCAAAACGTTGGATTTACTTCAAATTGATTCGCTGAGATTTTACAAATATATTATTCCTATTTAATGTCTTAGATTCTTCATAGTTTACAAACTTTCGTAACACAATATCCATGATATAGCTCTTTAAATATTGTTTTCACAGATACTATTTAGACAACTTCAAGTAATGAATGATGCTTTGAATATTCGATCTTGTTCCATTTGTATATCGGTATTATTTATAAACCTTAAATTGATTAATTATCTTGAATCATTGAATAATACAAAGTGAAAAAAGATAAAAATTCAGGGAATACTGGTATTATCTTAGTTTGATACTTTATAACAATGTAAGTTTAATTATGTCTTCATAGAAAACTCATACATAAAATAGAGAGTAATGGAAATATTAATATTAAACTATCATTTTATGTGTTGTCAACTAAATTTTCCAGGAGGTGTATTCATACTCAGTTTGAAGCAATTACTACTTGTGAATGAATACCAGTTTAAAACATGTTGAGATTACATTACTTGGTAGTACTCAGCAGCTTTATAAATTTTGTATCACATGTGTAGATGTTTTCTATTGAGATGGTGGGAAAGATTTATAGCTCGGGTAGATGAATTTGGTGGAGTTTCATTGTCTGAGTTGGATGGTTCGGTCGGGGAGCTTTCATTGTTCTGGATAAAGAAATAACAGTTGTTAATTATGTGTAGAGAAATGATGATATATTTCAGAAGAACAGAGGAAGCACCATGACCAAACTATCCAGTTCAGAGAATGAAACTCCACCAAGTCAATGGAAACACTTTAGTCATTCTTTTATACAAGACTTCAATTATCAAGATGAATGTTAAAGATACAGATTTTTATGGATTACAATGAGGATACTTAGTTAACATTAAAAAATGGGTTGACCATTGACATCTTGGAAGCTTCATGAATGCACATAATTATAAGGAATAAATTAAAGAAACAATAATCATTGATACCCGAATGCTTACCTCAACACCATCTCTCCCTGGATCACCTCTTTCACCCTTTTTACCCTTCAATCCAACAGGTCCTTTTAATCCAGGTGGACCTGTTGGTCCTGATGGACCTGGTGGGCCAACTTCACCTGATGCACCTGGATTTCCAGCTTCTCCATCTCGACCTGGTTTTCCATCTGCACCTGGAGGTCCAGGTAATCCAATAGGTCCAGGAATTCCTGGTCCACCTGTTTTCCCTGGTGGTCCCGGCGAACCTGGTGCACCAGGTGGACCATCTGGTCCCGGTGGTCCTGGTGGTCCACGTTCTCCTTGAACTCCCATTGCACCAACTCTATAGGTTGTTACACCAAATGGTGCTGGACCTTTAACCTATAATAAATTTCAGTTAGAATAACTTATGGAAATTTTAGTGGTTTTTAAAAATTGGTACGGTCATTCGCAAACAAATATATCCTTGTTAGACTTGATAATTTTAAACAAATTGAAGAGAAATATCCTTGTAATAAGATTTTTTTTCAGTTTATTTCAAGGTTGAATTTATTCGTACATCTTCAAAATTACGTTTTTGTAATTTAATAAAATTTCTCCTACTTGATGGATAATTTACATTTCGTAACATTTTATGATCTGAAAATAAGCATTAGCATTTATTGATGTTATTTTAAAAGTACTAATTCGGGTTCTGATTCATGAAAGATAATATCGTATTTGACCAAAAGATGATGAATTCCAAGATGTGTGTAAAACAGCTATCGAATGCTTTATTATTCGCATACTAAATGAAATAATTACTACATTCCATCGGTTACCAACTGAATCAGATTACTAATTGTTTTGCGTGAACTAATCATTGGTGAAAATGACCAGTGATGATATTTACCGAAATATCAGTTCATTATTAAAAATTAATTTACTTGAATCAAGAATATACTGCTTTTGTTATTAAGCAATCTTCGTAACGATAATTCATTCGAATAAAAAAATTCAATGATTAATTTTTTTATCAGCATGGGATTTTTTGGATATGGTAGTAATTTTGCTAGTTGAGTTCATTAATCGATCTATACTAGACCATCATTGAAAACCTGGGAGCACTGGATGGCCGTTTCGTCCTATTGTGGGACTCCTCACCAGTGCGCATCCACGATCCCGCCTCGAGAGATTCGAACCCAGGAACTATCAGTCTCGCGCACGAGCGCTTATCCTCTAGACCACTGAGCCGGTATCCAACGGTGTTAATGTGTAACTTTAACCAATCCCTGATGTCGAGCAACCGTTCACGAATTGTCTTCAGTGAGTTTCTACCTCACAACAGACGTGGTTTGAACTCCACTTTATATTTCCTACTTTGTTATTATAAACAAAAGTGATTATTTATTATTGAGACAAAAAGTAATTCAATAAAAGAGAAAGATTTATTAGATGGAATAATACTCAAAAAAACTTACTCCAGAACTTGGTACATCTTCAGCTTGACGTTTTAATCTTCGAACTCGTTCAGCTGATAATTTTAAAAAATATATTTAAAGTATATAAATAATTTTATATAGATGTGATCATGAGTCAATTGAAGCTAGACCACCATGGAAAACCTGGAAGCACTGGAAGTCCGTTTTGTCCTATTTGTTTTTCATTTCCATGAAATAAGGCAATGATTAAGGATCAGAATATAAGTTAACTTTATATATCTTACTTTAACATATTTATAATCTTATGATTTAAATTAAACTATGTGCGATAGAATGGTTAATATGTAGTGGTTATTTCTTTTGAATAATATTGTTGAATAATATTTCAGTGGTTTGTTCTATTTTGAAAGAAATTTCACACTCAAAGAAACAAAGTCAATTGCAAAGTTTTTGTAGACCACCTCTTTTGATACAGTTTACGATTCATGTGTAGTGTACAGTCTGGAGACTACAGAAGTTCGAAATACTGATGAATTTCAAATCAGGACGAAACAACTATTTGATGCTCCTTAGTTTCCATAGTTTCTCAGATGTTTTTATATTTGTGTACACGCATGGCGTCGATACAGGAGAAGAGCTAAAGACTGCAAATAAAGATGTATTATTGATCCAAAAAGTATCAAGACATTGATTGATAACACTAATTTTTATTTTTTTTATTTACATTGGTCAACAGTCGGAAATCATGAAATTAAATGGAGTAACAAATAACACAAATTAATCAATAACTTAACGTGTGAACACAGTTTACAATCCCATAAGATTAAAATGCCAATGCAGTTAACGAGAACTAAGGTGAGAACAGCCAATTGCATTTTAGTACAGAATTATACAGTTCTTTAGTAAAATGTGAAAACCATACTTTCATTACTCCATTTGCAAATCCTTCATCAATTGTTTCAAACTTCATCGTTCCTTTATTACCATAACAATTAATCTCTGTTCTCGTTGTTCTCTTCGATTCGATCTTCCCAATTTTCTGCTGCCAGGTATCTCACTTCTGATTGGTGTTATATACTATTTATGTTGACATAAGTAGCATACACAACACTACAGCCAAAAATTATAACCAATTTTCGGAGTCATACAATAACTCCATCCTAGTAATTCCACTTCTTTAGTTGAACTCATATTATAAGCTCTCGCATCATGACTCAACTTGATTGATCGTTGTCTTTTGACATAATAGTATTGTAACCCTTCATGTGATAGGTAGGACTGTAGGATGGTAGAATGAACTAATCACTCGAGACGAAGACTGTAATATATCCGATATGTCAATTTAGGTAAAATCATCACTTTTTACATCAAAAGGATTATCTAATTACCAATCGAATTTTTGTTGACGTTTTTAAAAAGCAAAGAGTAACCAATAGTATTAGGCATAATAATACAACAATTTGTGTAGTTTCTATCGGATGGACCTTTTGTACTAATGATAATGAAAATGGATTCGATTCACAAACAATATTGAACCCTTTGAATTTTGAATGAATTAGCCGATAAATAACTTAGTTGATGGAACAAAGGAATAACATTAATTTGTAATGTAAACTTCCGACAAATTAATAGTTGACATTTGAAGATAGTATATTCACTTGTCAGTCAGTACTTGACTCTTTAACAGTAAAGAGTCGTCTTATTATAACATAAAGGCTATTATCTGTCTAATTTACTACGTTGGAGAATATATAACATGAACTGGAAAATTCGTACTCTATTCTAATTTCTTATAATAGTCTTATTTCGAACATTCAGTTTGGATGACAGTATGATGATAGTTGAACTTGGTCGAAAGTTGAAATGATATGAGCGTAAAGTGGATAACTTTGAGATTAGTAATTTCTTACGAAGTGGCATGATCCCTTGTGAAGTCTTGATTGCAAGCTATCAATTATTTACAAACTATTACAACAAATCTTTTCAGTACTTATTTTTAAACAAGAACAAGGTGATAAAATTATAACTGATTACCATTACCTAAGATATTATCACAATAATGCATAGTAACAAGAAATATACAAAAAATCAATTATTGATCCCTTAGTAATAAAGATTTTTTACTGAAAAATAGATAACTCACCTTGTATTAAATGTAATAAACATATTAAAAATAATACTGTTCTAATTGGATAAAATTTAATGTGAAACATTGGACATTTAAAAAAATAATCACTAGGATGTTTTAATGAGCACTACTCATGTATGAACATAAGATATTCAATATGTGTAACAAATTTTGCTAAGCAACTAACTAATGAAATTTATTAGTCAACAACAAAATATTTGTGTCTTCACTATTCTATCCAAATCTATAACTAGTAATGTACATGTTTGGGTCACAATCTTTTTTCCATCTTTTGGACTAATAATATTAATAAAAAGAACCATTAGGATTAATATACTTCTTCTCTATTTACTCTACTCTTAGTTATTTTTCTCCTTCTTTTCTTCAATATTCTTTTTTCCTGTATATTTGTGCATACTTGTATAAGATAGTAGGTTGAGACAAGAAACAGTAAGTATGTACAAAAATTTTTATACAACATAATGTACGTTTATTTGTGCTGTTTGTTCAATGTGTGTATGCACTCCTAATGGTTACCGCCATAGATACAACATATACCTATCCACCCATTCACAAATTAATGATTTACTTATTTCTTTTCTGAAACAATATTTAGATCAGTGAATCTTTGTGATTTTTCTAGCTTTTGGTTACATAGAAAGATAGAACATGTAAAAATATGTTACCAAGACCAAAATATTAAGAAAAAAGGGTAGGGAATAGTCACATTGGTGCTTAGTGTTATTGTCTAAAATCTAGAATAATATATAAATTTATCAGTTTTATAAAATCGTTAATGTCAAGATGCTGTAGGAAAAAAAATCGAATATAATTAGGGAATTTCCATGGTACACACTTCTTTTAATAAAAGTGTTTTACATCAATTTGTGCAGGAGATGAAGATGGGAAAATTAAGACTGTAATACTTTAAGGGATATAAACAATAGAATAAGAAGGATCAGTGTACCTTGTAGCACACATTCACACACAAACACACACAGTGCAACTATCTCGTTACCATCATGTATTATATATCGGACATATATAGGACTAGGATACACACAGAAAAGGAGTTATAGGGAGAATGTCACTGAAAGAATGAAAACATTAATAACTGTTGTAATCGTCTATTTCTGTTCTAGATTTTAGACTAAGTAGATGTGTTTAATTTTTGAAGTGAATGTTTTCATATGTCTGTAATTCAATGATTGGTTATCCTATTTTTCATTTGTATTAGAAATACATTTGAAAATGTCAAAGGATAAATGCATTTTTATTTTATTATTGTATTATGAAATAAAGGGTTTTATTTTCATAGATTATTACAATTCAAAGTTTACTTTGGTTAGTTTATCTAACGAAAACATGATACTTTGTCTTAGTTAAAAATTCATTTCGAGTCTTTTCAGTCTTTTGAAAAAAGTTATGCGCAATCATTCATTGATCGATGGAAGTTATACATTAACATCGTTGGATGCCGGTCAGCCCATTGGTCTAAAGATTAAGTGTTCGCATGATATACCGGAGATCCTGTGCTTAAATCCCTCATGCGGGATCAGAAATGCGCACTGCTAAGGAATTCCCTACTAGGATGAAACGGCCATCCAATGCTTCCAGGTTTTCAATGGTGGTCTAGTATAAATCGACTCATGAATTCAACTAGTAAAATTACTACGATCTCCACAAACCCCATTTTGATCACAAAACAAAGGGTCATTAAATATAGTTTGTAAATTTTTGTACCGCTTATTAAACAATGGGGATGCAGGTAGACCAGTTCAAGAGCCTTTCAATAGTTAAGTTATAAAATAAAGATGTATAGTATGTGTATTTTGCAAGATTTATAAAAGGTCTTCCCATCCTGGATATAATATAATTTTCACTATGAAAAACTCATTCTTTGTATTATAAACCCATGCTTCATGGATGTATTTTTAAGTCCATAAATATTGATGATAGCTGCCTCAATTAAACGTTGATAAAAAAGGATCTGGTAATCATGTTTAAACTAATCTTCAATTAAATTACAAATTCTACTGTTTATTTTTTCAACCATCAATAGATAGTGTCAACATGGTATACCATGGAAATCGTTCAACCAAGACTATTAGGCACAATATCTAACATTCAATTATTTTCCATTTATAAAATATATTGGTAGTGAAATACTTAAAAGATAGTTTAATACTGTCATTATTAATCTAAAGATGTTAATGAATAGAACTTTTTGACTCAACTATGACAGGATCATTTCATAATCAAACTTGGAAACAATGTGTCATGCAGAGGTTAGCTTTAAAAATCAGTGTTACTGACCACTTGAATAATACCATTTTACTTGGGTAAAATCTGATAAATGATTCATCGAACATTTTCAAATAGAGTACTCCACATATCCGATTCTGTAAGCATTGAATTGTGTAATAAACGAATATAATAAGTTTGAGTTACAATAACAAGAATAAAAATTTCTACCACATTAAACAACAGTACAGAATTTTGATTTTATTTATTAGGACTTAGTATCAAATATGTGAGTAGCTGTTTCATTTAATTGACAGTTTAACTGAGTTCCTATGATTTAAAGCATACAGTACATTTTTTGGTTTTGTCAAACTCTATTACGATGAAGCATTTTTCAGTATGTTTTCTGTTAACGGTTCATTTCTTCCCATTTATATAAACAATCTGTGGTCTTCTTTGTTTCACTGAATCTTGTGCTATAATTTAGATACTCATTGATGACCTTGAACCTAATGTAATCGAAAATTATTTAAATGTCTATTCCACTGAGCTACGATCATTTGCTCTAATGACATCCATGATTTACTAAACAAAAACGAATAATTTTAAATTCATTGAGTATTGTTTGTTTGAATCTTCCCATCGATTTGTTAGGACTGCAACTGCTCAGTCTCTAATTGGCATATGTGCGTACTGTGCGTATTGCCTCGATATAGCCTTAATTCACAAGCATGGTAAGCGGAGATGGATAGTGACTAGCAGTGGAATCCAGGACGCGCGTTTTGTCCTATTTGAGACTCGCTAGCTGGATGTACCTGAATGATCATCAAAGTTTCTGATGAAACATATATCGGTAACTAAGTTTAAAAAAGTCACTGGCAAGATGTAAAAAGCCACAATTCCTGAAATTATATTTGAAAGTCGGTATAACCAGTCAGTGAGTTTAAGTATCAAGAAGGACAGAGGACGAACATTTATCGCTGCAAGACTATATTCTTCTTTCTTTCTTTATTCATTAGTGAATTCAGTAGTGAGCTCTTACCAATGATCAAGAAATAAAGATAAACTATCTAGTCCTCCCTACCTCTGTATACGTGTACCATTTTAATTTCTGCTGTACAGCCATTTATATCGAGTGTACTATCAAATCATTTCATTTTCAGATTTCTGAACTTCAATCTGCATGATTGACTAAAGGCGACGATAAAACACCATGTATCTCTATACTGGGACCGATTGCCAAAACTAACTTTCAAGATTATTCACCGAGTTCCAGAATCAGTCTCTCACAAAGGATGCCGTAGGTTTGTACAGACTTTTTCATTTACTTTAAATTTTTACTTAATTATCCTTCTCTCTCCCAAAAATTGTTTTTCCATTTTCCATTTTTTTCATCTAAATTCATTTTTAAATTCTAATTTTATTTTTATGTAATCTACCCTAAACATGTATTTATCTAGTTTTCGTTTAATGAATTGTCTGTTATTAAATGTACTGTCCTCATATCTATGTAACCTGTTGTAATAATTCATCGACTATATAATATGACTTTAATCTTAATTTTAACTTTCCATCCGTTGGTTTACCGTTTATTGGTTATCATCTTCAAAACAAATTCTATAATATACATTGTCAAATAAAGATTTTAGTCATTTCATATAGTTGAAATCATGAGTCAACTGAAGCTAGATCACCTTGGAAAACCTGGAAGCACTGGACGGCCGTTTCGTTCTATTGTGGGACTCCTCAGTGGTGCGCATCCACGATCCCACCTCTCGAGATTCGAACCCAAGACCTATCAGTCTCGCTCGCGAGCGCATAACATCTAAACCACTGAGCCGGTATCCAACGTTGTTATTGTCTAACTTCAACCAATCCACTAAGTTGAGCAACCATTCACCAATGTCTACAGTGAGTTGATATCTCCCAACAGAGACTGATAGGTCCTGGGTTCGAATCTCGCTAGGCGGGATCGTGGATGCGCACTGCTGAGGAGTCCCACAATAGATCTTTTATCGATTACATGATATTGATTCTATGCTTCACTTAGAAACTGAATATATTAGGTGTACAACCTTGACAGGAAACTGCTCAAAAAGAGATATTTTATTTGTCAGCTTGTATCTTTAATATCTCATTGGGGAATAATTTACTATTAGTTATTGAATTTATGAGATAATTAAAATAATTTTTAGAAAAAATTGAGATTTTTTCGGTTTTACAATAGTCTGGAGTGAAATATTGAAACTTAGCAATAAGTGATGCAATTAATTCCTGTCATGAATGTGGCTATGAATAAATGTATTCAAGCTCATTATGATTTATATTGACTGTCAAAGCGTAAATGAATAAATAAGTAGACAGTGACTAGTGCCTAATTACCTGTCGTATAGATTTGATAACCACTTCATACTGCATCGCAGTGTGAAGTTGAAACTTTTTCTGTTGACAAATCCAAAAGATAGTCGAATCATTTTTAAAACTAAAAACGAACTTATAGTCTTCTATCCTTTCCTAATCAGAATTGTAACCCATAGATTGATATTAACAGACTATTTAAAGATTTCAATCAAGAATACTTCTTGGTTTTCAATCGTCTTATTTAGCTGGTTTGATCTTTAACTTGTATGGAATCTATGGTTGGTTTTTTTTCTTGATTCGATAAAAAAAGATTTATATATATACTTGAAATCATGAGTCAATTGAAGCTGGACCACCGTAGAAAACCTGGAAGCACTGGACGGCCGTTTCGTCCCATTGTGAGACTTCTCAGTGGTGCGCATCAACGATCCCGCCTCGCGAGATTCGAATGTTAAATAAAAATCAACTTCCATTAAGCACATTTTCCGACACGACACAATGATTCTTACTGTTTTTTCCATTAATATATATATGTATTTATATATACAGTAACTATATTATAAATAGCTTAATTTAGTCATCAATACTAGTTATTATTATGTTTATATTTAGTTATATTGCTAAATATGACTTAACATATTTTCTCAACTGATTTGGTAGCTTTTTTTTTTTGTGTGTGTGTAAGTATGCATATATGTGTATATGTATAATGAACGTACACATCTAAATAGATCCACCGGTAAAATTTCAGGATATTTTTTGGCATATTCTTTTCTGTCAAAGTAGTAAATTGTGCCCAATCAAATATTTGTACTGATTGGTTCTTCCTCTTTTTTTTCTTTTTTCA